GATGTGTTCAGGGTCTGGACTCACCTTACTATAATTATAAATAATTAAATTTGGTAACAGTAACAAATATCTACTGATACCTTACCATTAATTCCTCTTTTATTTTTTTCCAATCTCAAAGCAATATTTAGACAATGTTAAGGAATTTTACCTGGCCAGTGCGGAATCTGTAGATTTTCAAAATGCTACAGAAGAAAGTGAAAAGAAGATTAACACCTGGGTGGAAACTCAAACAAATGGTAAGAGGACTGCCCATTATAGGAACATTTTTGATTCTCCTGTGTGAGTGAGCCCTGTGCTTGACACTGCATGAGGTTCTGAGTGTTGGTGCAGAGATGGATTTGCAGAGCGGAGGCAGGAGGACTCGGCAGAAGATGAAAAGGTCCACGATAATATGGGAGATCCAAGGGGAAATCCCACAGGAGGGATTCACAGGAAGCCAATTATGCAGAAACACAGGTGGAGAACTCTTTGCACATGGCCCACGTGACCCACATGACTGTATTTCTGTGGATCCCAAGTCTCTGCACAGGCCCATTTCAAGGTCATATCATTTTCTTTAAGTCAGACCCAATTTTTGACTATGGATCTTTAAGAGAAAACATTACAAAGGGTCCCTTCTCCTTTACTAAATGGAAAATGAGCAGCCCTCCTATAAGCCACTCTTTTTACCACCTGTGCTGGAGCTGCAAGGACCACACCCACACCCACATAGTCTGCAGGGATTGTCACAACTGTTTTACTGATGCATAGTAGAGAGTTTCATTCTATGAACATCCATCCTACCTCCCAACTGTCATTACAGGACAAATTTACAGCAATTCAACATGGGAATGAATGGAAAAACTCCCCAGGAAGTAGTGGCTGACAGCACAGGGCGTGTATTTCAGAGCATAGAGTTCATATATGTCCTAAATTACAATCAAGTCCTAATCCTCTTTGAGTAAGCCCACATTTGAAAAAAATAGGAAGACAGGAAGGTAGAAATGAATTCTATATAGATATGTTGAAAGAGCTCAAGTTTATCACTATTCAGTGTAGATGACTGACATCACCCATAGACAGAGAACCTGCACCCCTTTCCCATCACGAGGAGTGGTATCTCCTACAGGGCTAACTCTATGGGGCTGCAGCCATGAGGACAGCTGAGTCTGGTGAATGGTTAGTCAGTGA